CATTAATCCACAAAGTGTAGGAAAAGAGACCTGTGATATAAGAAAATATATGTTATAAGAAACTAAGAACATAAGAAACCTACCAGCAAGGAAACTAACACAAAGAAGTACCCCCAAAATTCAACTTTCCCTAAAATATTAGGGGAAAAAAATAGAATATGAAACGTAATCACTTACATTGTAAATAAGGCAAGGATAATACTTCAGTCCTGTCCCATCAAGACAGATTATGTCTTGCATACTAACGTGACCCAATAAGAGGTTGACATCTCTTATAAACTTTAAAATAAAATACAAAACATGGCTTATATCCATTTTTTAGGGTTAAACCCGACAAATCTATTTCTTTTTTTTTTTTTTTTTTGCTACCATTTGTGTATCTCGTTCACATAGAATTGAGTGAAAAAAATGAATAACTTTCATATATAGCATGCATAAAAAATAGTTGAGGTAGATTTTAGAAAAGGAAAAATAGAAATGGTTAGTTCAATTTTTTTTTTTTAGGATAGTTTTCTATCTTAAGAAAATTAAAAATAACAGAAAATGTACGAAACACAATTTTCCATGAGTTGTTCTCTAGAAACATAATTAAAAGAAGATACATTCAAATTGAGTAATGTTAAAACTATTTCTGTTTTTTTTTTTAAATGATTGTAACAAACTGCCTAGAACTATTTCAGAATTAAAAGAAATTTTATTATTCTAAAAAGTGGAGGTTTGGTAGGAAATATTAGGATTTGGAATGATTGGCAGCTGGATCTAAGGGAAAAGAAAGATGTGGATGACTGAGTGAGATACATAAATGGGAGCAAAGAGAGGAAAAAAAATAGAGTTGTCAGGTTTAAACCTAAAAAATGGGTATAACCCATGCTTTGTATTTTTTTTTTAAGTTTAAAAAAGATTTTAACCTCTTATTGGGACACGTTAGTGTGCAGGACACAATCTGTTTTGATAAGGCAGGATTGAAGCATTATACATATGTCCCCACCCATGAGGAATCCATCATATGGACCAACAATAAATAAATATATTATTCCTTTTTAATTATCAAATTGAGTATATATTTAATTTCCAAATCAGAAATAGTGAGAGAATACTTTACTAGTATTATTCTTTGACTTTATAATTGAACAGGACGTGTCCATTTGTTGTTGGTCCATATTAGCATTTAGATCTATGTATTGTCCTTCTAAAAAAAAATTCCAATACAATGAGAATGCTATTTTCAGTTTTGGTAAAGTGCAGAAAACCCCTTACTATACAAAAAATATGCAAGAAACACCCCTATTAAAAATTAAGTGCATATAAACCCCTGTATAATCAACCTCTTAAGCAAAGGAGACAATACTTGGGTTTCCTATGGGAGAATGAACTTTATCTTCCTAGCTGATGTGACCCGATACAATTTAGACATATGTCCATATTTTTAAATTTTTTAATAATGGTTATTATCCAACTTCTTAGAGCATCTCCAACCGTTGTGTATATTTTTTGTGGTGTAAATCTAATGTGTCATAATAGATTTACACAAAAAATTTGGTTTATTTATTTTTAGCTCCAACGGTTGTTTTATACATTTTGTGTAAAAATATATTCCCCAATAACAACCAACTATAGTCATGCTGGACCCTACATAATTTTAACAAACCTACTTAATATATGGTTGTTTAGTTAATGGAATGAGAAAGAGGGAAAGAAAGGAAATATGTTGATGTGGCTGTCTAAAACGGTTGTGTAAAATACATAAATTAGTGACATGATAGTGTATCTTAACATACGGCTCAAAAATATTTTTTTATTTTCTAGTGTTTGGTTGTCGTAAAATAATTACGAAGAAAAAAATATTAAAATTTAACAAGCGATTTATTCATTCTTTTTATTGTTCTTGTATTCTGTATTCGTTTAAATGCTAAATTTCGGTAGCAATTTAGGGAATTTTCGGGCTCATCTCGCCCATTTTCTCCAAAATATCCAAAATCATGGAAATTTCGGACCCTAAAAATAGCACTTTCACGTGAAAGCTCAGTTGAGTCCCTTCAGCATTGTTTGGCTAAGGGGCATACCTTGATTCAAGCTTCGAAGGGTCCATTCCAACATAGACTCGAACCTTTGAGAAATTCGAAAAAAAATTTACACATCATACATGACAGTGTATATTTTACACAAAATAGCGTTTTAAACCCAAATCCAATTTTTTTTCTTTCCCCTATTTAAAATTTTTAGAATCCCTTAAACCCAAACCCAATTTTTTTTTTTTCTTTCCTTAATTAAAATTTTTAAAATCCCTCTTTTAGGACGAGCTTCCCCCCCACCCCCCAATCTCCATACCCAAAACTCAATCTGAAATCATAGTCTATGTACATCAGTCAAACACTCAACTTTTATGCACCAATCGGAATTTGCAGTATTCACAAATTTTTAATCTTTCTTTTTCATATTTTCCACCCATAAGAGTAAGAGAAAGGGGGAAAAAAAAAATACCAACCCTTGGCCCCTAAAAATTGAAGGTGTTGGGAACTTGGGAGGATGCAAAAGATAGATTTAACTCTGACCAAAAATAGATGTACGAGACTAAGAAATAAATATACGAGAAAAGCCCAATTCAAATATAGGTTAACATCAAATTTTCATAAATGTTTTAAGCTCCTATTCCTTCCATATTAAACACTTGATATAATACATTCTTTAAATAAATTTTGTAATTTTTCAAATTGGGTTTAGAAACAGTTATATTCTTTTGGATAAAAAAAAAAACTTTGGGATTCTGTTTAACTAGTAAGAAAATGGGTAATGATTATTTTTAGAGACTTTAAAATTTAAACATGTATCTAAATTATATTGGGCCACAATTGGGAGAAAAAACTTTATCTTCCAAGAGGAGGATCCAAGTATTGTCTGCAAGGAAATTGGCCCCTAACAAACTTTTAATCTTTCTTTTTTCATATTTTCCACCAATGAGATAAAAAATAAAAAATAAATCAACCCTTAGCCTTATCAATTGAAGGTAGTGGGATATTTCGAAAAAATAAAAATAAAACTAAAAAATAAAAAATAAATAAAATTGAAGGTGTTGGGAACTTGGGAGGGATGCGATCTAACTCTTGACAAAAAATAAATAACTAACTCTGACTAAGAATTAAATATACGAGAAAAACTCTATTCAAATATAAGATAACATCAAATTTTCATATAATATTTTAAGCTCTTATTCCTTCCCTATTCAACACTTGATATAATACCTTCTTTAGATAAATTTTGTAATTTTTCAATTTGGGTTTAGAAACAGTCGTATTCTTTTAGAAAAGAAAAAAAAACTTTGGGATTCGATTTAATATGTAAGAAAATGGGTAATGATTATTTTTAGAAACTTTAAAAATTAAACACGTCTAAATTATATTGGGTAACATCATGTAGGAGGGTAAACTTATTTTCCAAGAGAGGACCCAAGTATTGTCTGCAAGGACTAATGATCAATTTTGACCAATTTATTTATAAAAACCCCAAAAGCAATCTTGACCAATTTATTTATAAAAGCCCCAAAATACCTTTAGTGCTTATGTAAAAAAATAAATTTCTCTCCTTTCTCCCTCAGATACTCTCTCTACACATCGCTCATCGCACATTTTCACTAGGCTCATTTAGCGCCAAAAAAATCACTACTTTTACCAAAAATTATGAGTTCCGTTACTTAACATATTGCTTGAAAAGTAATGCAAAATTTCTTACATATGTACATATGTATATATATAATTAACCCAACACCAACCCGTGAGCTTTAGAATGGCGACCAAGCATACAAAATATATATATATATATACACACACACATGCATACATGTACACATATAAGTATTAGATACAAATATGTTGATATATATGAAAACTGGATGGACTTATTTCAAATTCTATAGGAACTAAATATGTACAGTGCAACAATTCAATATTCTGTGGCCACTGGAAAAGAAATTCTTCTTCTTAAACCAATGCTTAAACTTTCACATTTTTAAATGTTGTCCAATGGCCAAACCCACCTTGTAATTAACCAACCGTAGAATTAGACAAGAATTCACAGATAGCACTTATACACAATTTTGTCTTCATCTACATCACCTATCTCATTTTCATACACCACATGCTGTATATAGGTTTTTTTTTTGTCCTGAAAAGATGGAAACAATTTTATCAAACCAACAGAATTTTTTTTTCTATATTTATATATGTTATTTTATTTAATTTTATTATAAAGGTACATTAGTCAATTCATGGTTCAATTTCTTCAAAAGCTTGCACCAATTGAAAATTGTAGGGAAGTTAATTGAACAAGAGGGGGTAATTGCACATTTTGTGTATAGTGAAGAATTTTTTTTTGCACTTAACATTTCTATATTTTTGCGTAAAAAAAATAGAAAAATCATCAGACTGTCTTGATACGTCACCGACGGTGCCTCGACCGCGACCCCTCACACCTTTTCTTTCCTATAAACTCCCTCCACGTACACACCACTGCAGTCTCACCATCCTCAAACCACAAATTAAGAAACTCCTCTTAATTTGCTTGTATCCATGGCTACCTCACAAACATTAATCTTTATCCAGTTCAGTTGCACAAACTTCGCTTACAAAATTACTACGTACTTCTTCTAATAATATACTATTTACTACTTTGTGCCAAAGATACTTTTGTAGGCACTAAACCATTCTAACTAAATTCTGTTAGGAAAAAGGATTGAAGAAAAGAAAGGGAGGGAAAAGAATTTGATTTCTTTGTGGAATGATATTTTGGTTCTAAACAATTTCAGTTCTTATATACATAAAAAAAGAGATTTACTAAAGAAAACAAGAGAGGAATTTAAAGGAACATTAATCTTAATATAAAATAAAAAATTTTATTTATTTACTGTATAAGTATTTGAAACTACAATAACCAACCACCCTCAGCTCCATGGAATTTGCAAAAAGAATGGGGGGAAGTTCTTGGAAACTTCATTTATTCTTGATATATTATTGCCTCCAGGGTGATACAAGGCTCTCCGCATACACTTCTGCATCAAAAATTTCTTCATGTGGTGGGATGCCATGTAGTACAAGATCCCTACACGTTCCCTCACTTGTGTTGTACAAAGCTAACTTCTGGCGGTTCCTCATTATTAGAGTTTCATCATTCTTTAACAAAGTCAATGGAATCCCATCATAACATGAAAATCCCATTTTCATATCAAATTTAGTCCAAGACTTCTCTACGCCGTTTTCCTTCATTACCCAAAATTCATCACTATAATACAATGGTTTTACACAAAGGCGTCCTAAAAATACCCCTATTTGGCACTTATCATGAACATCGGCAAAGAAAGTAGGCAAGGGAATTTCTGAGAGTTTGTCAGCCACCAAATCAAAAGCAGCAATCTTTGATTGGCTATTTGAATTTATACCCAAACAAAACCAATGAATGGCTCCATTGAGCAGCAACCCACGAGTGCGAGGATGAAAACTGCCATCAATATAAAAACTGCCTTTAGCATAGTCTTGGACCTTTTTCCAGAAACCAGCTCTCAATGAATATACATAGACGGTAGATCTGTCTAATTCCACTAGTTTGTAATCATCAGAGGAACTGTCATATCCAAATCCATATCGGCAATAACCTTCAAAACCTTCCAAAGCACACAAATCGCAATATGGTATTTGCTTGGACTCCCTTGTCAAGGGATTAAATACTATATATTGTATTAGACAAACCTTTATGCATACCAATCCATTGCAACTACCAATGATCGTCCAAAAGTTAGAAATATAATCAATCTTCTCAGCTACACTGTCCTTGTGTGCTGATCCGAGGTCTGCAGTGTATAGATGACTACGACGATAGTGAGTGATTATGAGTATCCGCTTTGTGAAATTGAGGTGATTTCTAGTGAAGTGAGGGTCGGATATTAAAGAAAGCCATGACTTGGAAACACACCTTAATCTTATCAAAGACTTGATAGGCAATTTTAATAGTATTTCGACAAGGAGATGACGAGGAATGTAAGGCATTAATGTTGTACTCTCTGTCGCCTTCGTCATCTCATTGCTTTGTCTGCTTTCTTCTTCTCCTCCTCCAGAAAAGCAGCAGCGAAGCCAAGCCATAACATGCACTGATAGATAACTCTATAAAACGTCCGTTTAGAAAAGACAATCGATAAGCCTTCGCGCTGAGATCCCTTTGCTTCTTCTCATATGGCTAGCGAAAGCTATGAAACTTCATTAATAATTTAAATTTATTGAATCCACATAGTATTGGGAAAGAGACCTGTGATATAAGAAAATATATGGCTACTAAGAAAATAACGAAACCTATCAGCAAGGAAACTAACACAAAGAAGTACCCCAAAATTCAACTTTCCCTAAACTATTATGGAAAAAATAGAATATGAAACCTAATCTAAGTAGGACAATACTTATTCCATCCCACCCGCCCTCACGATGTGGACCAATAATAAATAAATATATTGTCCCTCTTTAATTATCAAATTGGGCATATATATATATATATTTACATGGGTATTTCTTTAATTACCAAATCAAAAAATGGTGAGGATATATATTCTTACCAATATTATTCTTTAACTTTATAATTAAAGAGGATGTGTCTAATAAATTTCCAATACAACAAGAATGCTACTTCCTGTTTTTGTGTAAAAAAAGGAAAAAAGAAAGAAAAAAAAAAAAAGGAAAGAGAGGATTTTTTTCATTCAAGAGTCAACCCTGTTTTTCATAATTGCTATGCTCGGTTACACGGAATTGGTGCAATTGCATTGGAATTGGAATTGGAATTGGAGAAAATTTATGCTCTGCTTGTTAGGATGGAAGAAAATTGAATGAAAGAGGGACAGAGAAGAGGAGATGAATGAGACAGCAAGGCTTGATAACTGGGCTAAAGTTTCATCGAAGTCAATGCCGTTAATTGGAATGGCATATAAATCACACATCCTATGGATCAAGTATAAAGACTCAGGGTTTTGGAAGGAAGGTCCTGGCTTTAAGCATATAGCTAGCCTTCGCTTTGTGGATCAAACTCTTCTCTAGACAAAGGAGAGCATAACATAAATTCCCGTGTTTGTTAATGATAGGGAAGTGAGTCCATAATGAGGTAATATTTTATTTTGTTTGTTAAGAGAGAAGAGTGCTACTTATTAGAAAATTTTGTAATTTAAAAATATTTATAATAGTATTCCATCAACACCAAGAAGAGAAACATCAGCTTGTTTGGAGAACCATGGGTGACTAACTTACAGTGGATGCGTCAATATATATCATCTCTCTACAAAAAAAGAAAATATCCAAATCAATCCATTATCGGTCCTGGAGTAAAGATGTCCAATACTGTAAAATATATAGCAATCAATTTAGACAAACAATGAACAAAATAAAGGTCACCCATAAATTCCATTAAATCAGCTCCACGGTCTACAGTAAATATAAAAGCCTTTTACTTGATTCATTGGACGGAAAATTTAGTTACTTTAGATTTAGATTATGTCACCTTGTCACGAGCAAATTAGGCCATAAAAGGGTGAAACTAGAATTTCATGATTATTGCCTCTTCACTCAGACAGCCAGGGGGTGATACACCGCATAAACTTCTGCATCAGAAATTGATTCACTTGGGATGCCATGTAATACAAGAGCCCTATATGTTCCCTCACTTGTGTTGTATAAAACGAACTTCCGCAATTTCCTCATTATTAGAGTTTCATCATTCTTTAGCAAAGTCAATGGCATCTAATGATCAGAAATTGGGATTTTCATTTGATCTTTAGTCCAAGACCTCTCTACTCTGTATTCCTTCATTACCCAAATTCATCACTACTTAGTATTTTTACACAAAGGCATCCTAAAAATACCCCTATTGGGCACATATTATGAACATTGGTGAAGAAACTAGGCAAGGGAATTTCTGAGAGTTTGTCAGCCACCAAAGCGAAGGATAAGAACTCATGTCTTCAACATAAAAACTGTTTTTAACATAGTCTTGGACCTTCTTCCAGGAACCAGCTCTCAATGAATATACATAGACGCTACATCTGCCTAATTGCACCAGTTTGTAATCATTAGAGCAACTGTCATATCCAAATCCATATCTATATCTGTTATAAGCTTCATAAGGACGCAAATCACAATATGGTATTTGCTTGGACTCCCTTGTCGAGAGATTGAATATTACATATGAGACACGTAATAAAAACTTCATGCATACCAATCCATTGCAACTACCAATGATCTCGAGCAACACCGTCTCCATGTCAAGAATATTATCAATCTTCTCAGCTACAATGTCCTTGTGTGCTGTTCCAAGGTCTGCAGTGTATACATGATGGCTACCCGGATGGGAATTGAGTATGAGTATTCCTTTGTGATTGATTGATTGATTGAGGTGATTTCTAGTGAAGCGAGAGTCAGAGATTAAAGAAAGCCATAACTTGGAAACACACTTGAATCGTATCAGAGACTTGACAGGCAATTTTAATAGTATTTGGACAAGGAGATGATGAGGAATGTAAGGCATTAATGTTGTACTCTTTGTTGCCTTCGTCATCTCATTGCTTTGTCTGCTTTCTTCTTCTTCCCCATAAAAGCAGCAACGAAACCAAGCCATAAGTCCATAACACGTAGTGATAAAAAAAACTCAATTAAACTTCCGTTTAAAAATTTTTTTACCTTATATATTGTAACCTTTTTAAAAATTTTGTTTATATTTTCTTCTATTATTGAACTCAACCATTAGCAGAAGCCACCAAAAATTCTTATTTCCTAATATTATTACCTTTTTAAAATTTTATTTCCTTATATTATTATACCATATATAACCAATAGCAGGAGGCCTCAAATTTTTATTTTTATTTTTTATTTCCTTAAATTATTACCTCCATTAAAAATTTTATTTCCTTATTAGGTCCCAACCAACAGGAAGAATATAGTGGCCCCAAAGAATTAACTCCTATTTTCTATCCTTATCTAACTTATTCCTCCTCTCCTTCCTCTCATTGTACGTGTGTGTCAGTGTGTGTTAGGATGGCAATTCGTATTCGTGGGTCGTGTTTGTATCGTGTCAATGTAAGGGTATTATACTAAATAGATAAACTCAAACCCAACCCATTTAATAATCGTATCAAACCCGTTTATTAAACAGGTAAACGTGTTAACCCATTTAATGACCTGTTTATCAATACGAGACATTTAATATTTAATCAAATATTAAATAATAGAAAAAATTTGTCATAATTAACCCAAATATTCAAAATAAAAAGGAAAATCTCAAGGTATAGATAAGGTTTATGTTGAAATGACTTAAATATCCATAACAATTGGGTTTAAACAATTAACATATTACATAAGTCATACTCACGATTATAATATGTTGAGTTAAATGGGTCATAAACGTATTACACGGATTGAACCCCTCAACCCTAACTCGACACGGTTAAGTAAACGGGTTAATTGTGTCGACCCTTTTATGACCCAAGCCCATTTATGTCAAACCCAAACCTTTTTAACTCGTGTCGTGTTATCGTGTCATGTCTTAATTTGCCACCCCTAGTGTGTGTGTGTTTTTTTTTTTAACCTACAATTGAATTAATTATTATTATTATATATATATTTTTGCTATAAGGGAAGTAATTTCATTCAAGATTGAGGGATAAAATACAAACATATCAATTCCTGTAGGATAAACTCACAGCAATATTTAAGAAAAGTAGAATTTCCTACTAGGGAGGTGATATTTTTATACAATTGTACTCCAATCTTAAATTTTGATACCTCTAACCGTAATTTTAAAAATTAATAATTATTTTTCTCAAATACCACTAACTCTCCTTTTTAGTATGGTAAGATCTTTTTGTCTTCTATTCTTTTCCAATTAACGTTTTTGGTACCCAGTGTTTTTTTAAATCCCTCTTTTTCTCTTGCTTAGCTTCCTACTTTTCTAAAATGTTTCTCTATTTTGTATTAACTTTCTATTCTCTCTCTTTTAAGGATTTGATATTGATATTTGTAAGTAATAATAAAAAATCTCATAAATGATGAAATAATAGAGTTGAAGTATGTAATTGATCTTGTAAGCATAAACATTGAGGCCACGTTTGATGTGCAGGAATTGAATGAAATGCAACTTGGAATGGAAAGAGAATGCAGGAATTGAATGAAATGCAACTTGGAATGGAAAAAGAATGAGAATAGAATGAAATGAGAATATTTATTCCATTGTTTGGTATAACACGGTGAATCGTTATGGAATACAATGATTATTACCATTCTATTGTTTGGTTGACTATCATTAAACCTAAAATGGAATGATTTTTCTTAAAAATACCTTTTTTATTGGCTTACATTACTTTTTAATATAATCAATCTAATTAATATTCTGACGATAAATTATAGAATATTATAAGATGCCCAATATTGCCATTGAAAAAAATAGAGAAAAATCTTAAAATAAAATTTATTTTATTTTTAATGAGATATTAATCTTAATAAATGACTACAAAAGGAAAAAAAATAAAATAAAATAAAATTTTTAATGAGATATTAATCTTAATAAATGACGACAAACGGAAAAATATCAGAATCCCCAAAAGATGCAAGCACAAAACCGTAGCCACTTTCCAGCCCCAGGGTCATAATAGTGTTCTAGAATTGACTTTAAATCTTGGACAGATTCAAGTTTTATAACTAAACCAATCCAGCATGATTGAAGACACACAAATAAATTTGTCAGTACAATTTTATCCAAAAACGGCTTAAGAAGCTGATGTAAAGGCTAAAAAAAAAAATGTATATATTTTTAATGATATATCATTCTGCAACTTTTTGTCAATGGTAACCCTAGGTATATTCAGAAGAGAGGGAAGATGAAAGACCTTTACCACATCTAATAAAGAAGCTCGATCGAGAAACATGAAAAATGAAATGTGACAGATTTTTTGTTCATGCGAAAGATTTTTGCCTTATTAGAATGTGATGAAGGACTTATTGGGAATATTACAAAAATATTTAATCTTACTATGGATAGAATGGCCATTCCATAGGTTTAGTAATGGAATGGATTTTCATTCCCTGGAATGGTCATTCCATTCCACGAAACAAATGAATGATTGGAATGAGCATTCTATTCCAGCACACCAAACATAGCAGAATAACTATTAAAATTTCATGAACCTTTCATAGTGATGGGGATGGTAATTTGTTTCTTTTATTTCTTTTTTCTTTGAGTTTATGTTTGATTTTTTTTTTTTTTCTCCCTAATGTGATTCTTTTAAGAATTTATTTGGATGGTGATGGGAATGGTAATTTTTTTTTTTTTTTTTTACATTATTTGAGTTTAGTTTGGTTGTTTTTTCGATGTGATTTTTAAGAATTAATCTAGAATTTATCTGAATATTTAAGTTTACCTTGTACTTGTTGATAAGTGAAGTTTTAACTCTTTTTGACAATAAAATTACAAAACTAGAAATTTTGTGAAAAAGAGTAAAAATAAAAAAGAAAAAAAATAGGTATAATATACAACTATGACATGGTGTGATTCATCTTATCTAGGGTAAAAGTACAATAAACCCCTTCAACTATGGACATTTGTCAGTAAACCCCCTCAACTAAATTTTTGCCAAAAAAAAAAAAAAAAAAAAACCCAACTATCCAAAGGGGGTAAAATAGTGGATAGTACCAAAATGCCCATATTTCTTTTTTATTTGAATCATAGCTCGCTTGAACTTCAAAAAAATCATATCTCACAAACTGTACGTCAAAAAAGTACAAATAATATAGGCACGGAAAGCTTATGAAACAAGGATTCCAGATTTTATAAGATATGTGCAACAAGACACCATAACCATAAATAAATAGGCAATCTAAGAATATGTTCTGGAAATTTATTTTATAAAAAAAATTAAAATACTCGGGATATTTGCAAGAAATTTTCAAAATTATTCATTTGAATATGAAGTATAACGTATAAAAAATTTAGCCCCAACAAAGACCAATTTCATGAGTTATCATATTGTGCATAAGGGTATTTTCATTTTCTTTTAGACTTGCCATTTAAAAAAAAAAAAAGCGAATAATCGGTCTTAGTTGGGGCTAATTTTTTTATGTGTTATGCTCCATATGCAAATGAATAATTTTGAATATATTTTTAAAAATATCCTGAGTATTTTATTTTTAAAAAATGAAATAAGATTGTCGAAGCAAATTCTTAGATTATCTATTTCTTTCTGGTTATGGCGTTTTGTTATATAAATCTTATATTTTTAAAATCCTTATTTCAGAAGCTTTCCGCGCATACATTATATGCAATTTTTGGATGTACGGTTTGTGAGATATGAATTTTCAAAGTTTGAACGAATTATAATTCAAATAAAATAGCAATATATAAGAGCATTTGGTCCAAATATCCAATCTATTACTCCCCTCGAATGGTTGAGAGGGATTTTTTGACAAAAAAAATAGTAAAAATAGTCACCGCCGGGGGAGGGGGTGGTGGGGGAGATGTTATTGAAAAACGCCCATAATTGAAAGGGGGTTTATTGTACTAGCTTTGTCCAAATATCTATAAGGGACTGTTCTAAATTTAGGGAAAGATTTGCAATGTTTAATAAATATAAAAATTCTTTATTGAATTCATAAATTCCATTGAATAATTTTTCTTGATTTGAATACTTTATGGGTGACAATTCGTATTCGAGGGTCATAATTGTGTCGTGTCGATGTAATGCTATTCTACTAAACAGCTTAATCCAAATACGACTCGTTTAATAATCGCATTAGAAATTCTCAACACTAACCCGACTTGTTTATTAAACGGGTTACACGTGTAACTCGTTTATTGACCTGTTTAATAAAATTAAATATTTTATTATTTAAATTATTAATAAATATTAGAAAAATATAAGTTTCAATCCAACCAAATTATTAAATAATCTCTAATCTATAAAAGAATAAATTATAAGATACAAGTTTAGATATTTATTTTGGAACTTAAATAGAAATTTGTTTATGACACGTATAGTTAAACGGGTGTAAATGGATTACATGAATTGAACCTCTCAACCCAAACACGACATGATTAACGGGTTTATTGTGTCGACCCGTTTGAGACCCAAACCTGTTTAACTCGTGTCGTGTTCGAGTCATATTGGTGGTCGTGTCAAACTTTGTCACCCCTAGAATAATTGTAACTGATTTTATCATTGATCACCATCTTAATTTAGTTGAATAAATTTTCTTTTTCTCTAAAAAAAAAAAAAAAAGGGGAAAAGGTAAGAAGAAAAAATTTATTGTGAAAAGGGCAAAAATGATATTAAAAAATGAGGTTAATGACCTTCCAAAAATAGAGTATAATTGTACTAAATCCTACCTTCCTACATTTAGGGATGGCAACGGGGCGGGTTTGGAGCGGGTTTCCCTAAATCCCGCCCCGCCCCTTTTAATTTTTGTCAAGTCCATGCCTGCCCCGAGACCCGCGACGGGTTGGATTTTCATGTCCAGCCCCACCCTGTTAGGAAATACTGTGCCATCGTGCCCGTCCCGCTAACAAATTTTTTTCTCCCACTTTTTGGAACTTAAACTCTTGCTATTTAAATGTGCAAAGCCTAGGAATGG